ATTAAGTAATTATACAACTCTCTTATTATAATCATAATTAAATTCAATTAATAATTATATCCTTGATATTATTAAATTTAATTATAATAAAGATATAGTATACTGACAATAAATCAGAAAGTTACGCGATGATGACGACGACCTTTTTTCGATGTTTCTGCTAAAATAAAATTCTTTAAAATAAATTAATTAAGAATATTCAGAAAACGTTATTTAATTACTGGATACTTTATTTCCGAGACGAAGAGGAAACGTATTCGATCGCGGTTGAATCGTGTTTGGTGAACGCGCACTCTCGAAGGCGCGCTTCCGGGTTGGAATACTTGACGTTCTGGCCTTTCACGCAATCGTGCGAGAGAGTACGGCAAAGTGGACACAGCCGCCAATCGGGCTCGCATTAATCACTCGAAACTCGGTTTGCGCCAGTCCACTCGGTTGGAAGTGTGTCGAATCCGGTTGAATCCCGTACCACGCCTCGTATGCGGCGAGGATGAGCGCAAAAATGCGACAGCTATATACAAGCGGATACTCTTTCCGGAGTAATGGTTGTCGATGAACAATTCTGAACTTTTTTAACAAATTCGGATTTCTCATTCACGAGGTGAAGAGAAAATTCTTTTTTCATGGTTTACTAAATAATATTGGATTAGGGAAAAAGTTGCTTTACAAGTTGATAAAAAGACTTTTCCTCAATATATCTTCATTAAAAATGATCAAAATTTAAATTTAAAAAAAGAGTTGTAAAGCTTGAAATTTCTATTTTTGAATAGTTAGTTATATTTTTTGTACGTGAGTTTTGTAATTTTTATATAAAATTACGCGCTGAAAAAAATTAAAAATTTTATTTTCACTTTATTAATCTGTAGCGTATCCCCCGTCATTTTAAATGTTTGTAGTTTCCTAAATCAGTTTTATTTATATTATTCTTTCTCTTAGTCTTTTCATAATATAATTTGAAATTAAAAATTGGGGTGCAGTGTAACTGCCATGTACCTGTCCGTAAAATAAACAATGAGTTAACTTAATCTTTATAATAATGTTGCTTTATAGTGTCAAATAACTCTATTGGCTGAAATAATCGTGCATATGTGGAAAAACTTTTGAAAAACTATCGCGTTACATATTTATATCTTGCAGAATAGCATAAATAAATATGCATATAATTCAAAATGTTTTATAATGAAGTGAAAAGATTCTGGAAAATCTTATATATATTCACTTACTTTATACAAATAATTCTTGTAAAATAAAAAGAATAAGAATACGTAGCATTAATGCCTATTGTGTTTTGTCAAACGCATTCATTTTTGCTTACCTTACGAAAAAATTATTGTAAAAATTAATTATTGTAAAATTGTAAACAGTATTATGAAACTGCTTATACTATCCGATAGAAGATACTTTTCAGTTTGTACTTATGTGTTTGTATATATTTTAAAGTTTTATTTTTACCTTTTGTTTAAGAAATATGGTCTAAAAATAAAATGATATGTCGGTATCGGCGACTTTCCTCTACTTTTCACATAAGAAATTATGCAAAATGAGCATTGCGTGGTGAGATTGACAAGACGCACGCAGCGACATAATGTTAAGAAATGAAGCGTCGCACAGAAAACATAATTTTTATACGAATTATTATGTACAGAAATAAGGGAGACGAAAAATGAAAGCTGAAACTTTCAGTTTTTTTAATGCAGTTAATTTCGTTATTCTACGACAACTTCTGACAATTCTACAATGGATTAAAAACGATATGTTGCATGCAATTCTGGCCTTTTTTTATAAAATCAGTTATAAATCGGTACTGAATTATTAAAAAAAGAATCACTTGCAGAATATATTTCAGTACATACTTTAATTCTACGAGAGGAAAAAATTTTTTTTAATTTTCTTTATAAAATTAAACTAAACTTGACGTTTACAGCAATTTTCAAATTTCTTGATGAAACGTAGGACTTAAAATCGTCGAAACTTTGCGAAAAATTTTTAAAAAAGCAATTGAAAGTTTAGAATGTTTAGATCCCATATCGCAATATTCTGTTATATTTCGAATTTTCATTTATTTACATAAATACGCGAGTTATTGCGAAAAATTTGTTTAAACAGAAATCGGATATTTAAAATCATCTTAAAATGCCATAAGTTTTTATTTATTAGCATCTTAAAATTGCACTTAAAGTGATTTTAAAATAAAAACAGACTATGAATATCGATTTATGAATACCAGTCATAAGGTACGTTTGGAAAACGAGCTATCAGCACTATTACGTCATTTTATCTTCGTTTTACGTTAAACAAACGATAAGCAAATGGAACGCTGATGGCCAATGTACGACAAATCAAGTATTCATCTGCATGCAGAATGAAGATGCAGTTTCCTTTTCATACGCAAGAATTTAAAACTTACAATTAGATGTGTACATAAAGGTATCCCACGTAACTGTGATCATGATTTTTCCAGCACTTCCGATGATGTGACAAAAATTATTTTGAATAAAAGTTAGTCAGTTTTCAATTGACTACAAATTGCAATATTAAAAATTTACAAAGTTTCTTTTTTTAGGATAAAAGTCAAGGTCACCCTATAAATTTTTTTAAATGGTACTACGTATTTTTTACTTTATAATATTGTAACTGATGTTAAGAATTCAACTGCTATATTATGACCTTGAGATGACCTTTTTCAGACGTATGAAATCAATTAATGTTTTCGTGAAAAATTATTTTATTTGTATTAAATTTTATATGGACATATTCTACAGTAGAAAAGAATTTTTGTATTAGTTGCATATCAATTTTCTCAGGAATACATTTTACAGGAATACATTTTCGACAATTGAGACTACGATTTGCTCTAATGTCAAACTAAGAAAGAACACAAGTATAAAGGAGATTCTAACAGCGTTCGAACTACAAGTACTACAAATTATGTTGACATTTTTCTACGTACACACTACATACATATACGTGTGTAATAAATTGTGAACTACACTCGGGAATACCACGAATTCAGAAATGATTACGTCGGTTCCTCAATTTGTCTATAAGTATACATTTTTTTCTGAATAATGTAAAATTAAAAACATGTAAAGTTAATACAAAATAATTTTTCACGAAAACGTTTCCGTTCATTAATCCCATACGTCTAATTTTAAGGTCATCTCAAGATCATAATATAGCAGATCATTGAACTTATCTTGACATCAGTTATAATATTATGAAGTAAAAAAATAGTGCCATTTTAACAAATTAGGGTGACCTTGATTTTTTTCCTAAAAAAGAATATTTTGCAAATTATAATCAATTGAAAACTGATTAACTTTTATTTAAAATAATTTTTATTACATCATCGGAGTGCCGAAAAAATGATCACAGTTACGTGGGACACTCTGTATGTATAATATATATGTTTTTTTAATAACTCACAATTATACAGTATAGAGGAGAAGGTAGTGTTATGATATCATTTACATTTTATAACTTGAATAACCAATATGTAAATTGAAAAATTAACGGTTACATTCGTTAAAGTATTGTTCAATTGATTCTAGACTTACAGTTATGAAATATTTATTACTAGGATACTAACTTAGTTCAGTCAACTTAAAAAGTCAACTTAAAAAATTGGTTTTGTTAAAAAACTAATATTTTGTTGTAAAATTAATAGAAAAGTAAGACATTAT